TCCGTGATTATCCTCAGAGTCTCAGCCTAGCGTTGCTGAAGCGGGCTGCACACCAGCCCAGCATGGTGAGTTCCCAAGAACCTGTCAGCCCTGGCCATCCTCATCCTCCCTGACTTAGCTGGGTCAGTCTGAAGCTCCCCATCCCAGGCTGGTGAGAGCTCAATATCCTATCCTGCTATTGTTATGTTAATACTCCCACCCTGGGTGCCAGCCTATCTTCCTCTGTCACTGTTGTAATAAGACCCCCCAGGCCCAGCTTGGTATGTGAAATCTGTACTCCATGCCATCCTGGTGAGTTACCTGGACTCTTGCCCTCTAAAGACATCTACACAGTCCCAGTCCTTGGATGAAGGAGCATGTATACCAACCAACCCAATACCCTCTCTGATGCAAATTCTCATATTCTAAGCATAGCTTGGATCAAGCAGCTTGCCAACTAGCCAAGCCTGCTTATTGACCCAGACTCTAAGTAGTGATCCCACAGTTTCAGGCACATTGATGAACTACCCAGAATCACTCTGGCTTCCCACTGTTAGTATACTTCCTGCACTATGTCTGATTAGAAATCCTGAATATGCCTGTCTTGTGAGTGACCCAGATCTTTGCTCTCCATTGACACACCTACAGTCCCAGAAATACTGGGATCCAACTGCCTGATAACCATCAAGAACAGGCTCTCTTCAGCTATTCTAATAATCCCAGAACTTGTGGTCAAGCATCCTGGGCACTAGCCCAGCCCAATCAGTGATCAATACTCTCTTCTCTCTAATAATCCTGAAACTTTCTGACATAGCAGTGGTGAGCAGTTTCCCCATCAGCACATCCTAATGAGTCCCCAAGATCCACCTCTGCCTTCACCTTCTGTAGACTCACAGACATAGCTGGGATCATAAGCCTGAGTACCAGGCCAGCCTGGTGATTGTCAAATATCCCCACCTAGCTTTACCCTCTTCAAAAAACCACAGGCTCAGCTTGGGTCATACAGTCTGATTAGTGGTTAACCATAGTGAGACATCAAGGCTCCCACTCCAGCAGCTTCCTCAGACTTACAGGCGCACTTCCAATAAAGCAGAGGTTCAACCAGCATGGTGAGTAACCCAACCCCATGCATCACAATGAGACACTAAGTTTCCCAGTCTTAAAATCAAATAAAGAAGCAAAATAGGTGTGTGTGAGATTGGCTGTTCGGGAGCAACTTGCCAAAGTAGCTTATAATTAATTTGTTTTAATTGCTCATTCAATTTCCCCCCTTCACACCTAGAGAAAAAGATCATAAAAAATATTTTTTATCAAAATTCATGGTTTTATATAAACCACTGTCTGTGTTAATTGTGGCCTGAGGGATTTGCATCTGTGCTTTCCCTTACAAGTACTCTCATGACCCCAACAAGACTGTTAAAGCCTTACTGTAAGCTAGCAACCATAGACAACCATGGGGAAACAGAAGAGGGATTTCCTGGTTTCAATCACATGTAAACCACATGTCACTTCTAATTCTATCCCCATTGTACTGGTACTCTATGTACATGGCTTTCATTATGCTAAAGTAAATACAGAACAAAGCCCTGTCATTTTACTGATAGGTAACACAACCAGACAAGGGCATATCAGACAGGACCAACAACCCCTGAAAGGTCTCTGTGAACACCCCCAAAAATTACTTGCCCCAACAAAAAGCAGGAAGCAGCTTGGAGAGAACTATGCCCAAATTCCCTAAATGATTGTTCAATAAATGTTTATTTACATTTAAAGAGAGATATGCTATAGTAATTTGCATTGATATGAATCTTGGTCTATTGATACAAATTTTAGGTCAATTTTGTTATATATATATACATATATATGTGTGTGTATGTATATATATATATATATATGCTCTTGATTAAGGTACTGTGTTTGTGCAGCTCATTTAATAAAGAACCAGAGAAAGAAACAGACTTTGACCCCAAAATCAGATCCATCTCTACCCTGACTAACTGAAACACAAAACCAACCAATCCCTGAGCAGGGAAGTTTCTCCCTCTAGTCTAGAGGCTTGACCTTTCCCTGTCCTTAGCAGAGGCAGCCTCTTCCAGTCAGCCAGGCAAGGAGTGGCATAACTGCCCCGACCTTCCCCTGACCTTAACCCATGCAGTTAAAATAATGGTAAGGTCACCTGACCACAGTCAAAATGGCAGCAGTCTCATGTTGTATGAAAAAGCCATGATTTTTGAGCTGCAGGGATTTTAAGTTTAATAATAACAGAGACCTAGAAGTGTGATCCGCCCTGTCGCTGAGCCATCATACCACAAGCAGTAGCAAAAGGCTAGAATTTAAAATAGCCGCCTTGTGAATCCGATCAATCTTGATGGCAGCAGAAGCAGTGGCAAGGACAGTTTGAGGAAACTCCTTCCATTTGCCTGTACACTGACCGTAATTAGAAAGCTCCCATAAACATGGAGCCATAAGGACGCCAGCAGCATGAGGGCAGAGCTGACGAAGTAGGGCATTAAGGCCTGAGGTTTAAGGGCCCCTAAAAGACGTCCATCCCAGGGGGAGGCTGGATTGACAGAATGGATGGCTTGCTACCCATAGTTGAAACTATGAAAACAGCAACGCCACAAGGCCTATACAAAAACATCTCTCCTCTATAGGCAGGGTGTGAATAGGTGGCGAACACTGCAGGGCCTGTAGCAGACCATCCTCTGCCTACAGGTGGAGTGCTAAAGCCTGGCTGGCTCAGAGGCCTCTCTGAGCAGCCTTTTACAGTGGGGAAGAAAGGAAAAAAAGAAAAAAAGAAAAATCTGAGGGACCCTGGGCTCCCAGTCGCAGGAGGACTGGTCCCAGGTCATCAAAACACCATTTTAGCTAAGGGAAGCAACCAGAGATGAATGTCAGAGAAGGGCTCAACTGTAGCCATAAAGACCGTGGTTGGGGGATATCCCCCTGTTTCTAGAAACACTAGAATATTTCCGGAAGCTAAATGATAATTCCTCATGTTTGGAGAAATGGTTAAGATGAACAGATGGGGAAACTCACCAATTAAGAGGTAAAAGTCACACTCAGGCAGAATGGAGAGCTTTTATAAAGAAACCTGGTTCTTGAGCGCAGGGTTCCATGCGTCCTCAGCTGGCCCGCCTATGAACCATTGCAATACCCATTTCTGAAAACACCCTTCTTGATTGGGCTTGAAAGAAAGTTACTAATATGCCTTGAGCAGATCTCTGAGTTCGAGGCCAGCTGGTCTACAGAGTGAGTCCCAGTATAGGCAGAAAGAAGCCTTACCTCAAAAAACAAAACAATAACAATAATAACGTGCCTTGAGAGCATTAAAAACCATGTACTTAATCTACCACACTCATTCAATCCGTTTTTACATCCTAAGCACTACAGCATATATCTGTATGCTAGGCTGGGTCAGTAAAGTAAAACTTCCCATGTAAAACTATCATGAAAGATGTATTCCTCAGTTCTTTCCATGAAAAAAAAAAGCCTTTCTTAGAGAAAGATCAAACACAGGGAAAATTTATTTTAACCCTTAATGGAAAACTGACAGTGACCCAAGGCTATTCCAGAATATTCCTCATAGTCTCATGTGAAACTTAGGGGAAAGAGCCTAGGCAATCCTCAACATCATCACATTCCTGAGTCGGGTGATACAGAACTCTCCCCTCCCACCCCTCCCCCACCACATCTGACTAACAGTGATGTCACAGCAGGAAATGGTCATGTACCAGTCCAGCCTGGAGAGTTACACAGAACCCCACCCATTCTCATCATAACGACACGCACGTAAAGCAGGAGGGCACCAGCCCAGACTGGTGAGTAACTAAGGACCCATTCTCACACTGCCAGGCCTAGCTAATGTTACAGATTGTGTTACACTGCCAGGCATAGCTGGTGTTCCACAATGGGGAATTCACAGGACATTGCCAGCCAGAGCAATTCTCTTACTCCCTGGCCCACTGGGATCTATCAGACTGCACATCATCTCAGCCTTGTGAGAGCTCAAGATCGTATCCTGGGGTGTCCTTCTAGAACTCCTTGGCCTAGCTTGGCTTGGTTTGAACAGTCTGCATGCCAACCCAGCCTAGGGTAGGATCAAGACCTCATCTTGCTGAACCATCCTGACAACCCCAGGCCAAGTTTGGCTCAAGCAGTTCATTGACCAATCAGGCCTAATTAGTGACCCAGATCCCTGCCCTCATGTAACAGTTCAGACTAGGGAGTGAACACATGATTCCAGGAAGACAGTGTACAGGGCCACTTTACTGAATATCCAACATCCTCACCTGCCTATAACAAACACTCAGAGAGCTGGAGCAACATCCCCACCTGGTTATTGACATAAGAATCTGCTCTAGTACTTTCCTCAGACTCCCAGGCCTAGCTCAGGTCAAGCAGATCAACGAAAGCGGAGTGGCACTCACCTGTGAACTCCTTCCCTGCCATCCACAATCTTTGGCCCAGCTGGTGCCAAGGAGTCTGGATACCTGGCCAGATTGGTAAGTGATCAAGACCCCACCTGCTTTCCCATTCAGTCCTCACACTTGTGGACATAGTTCGGGTCATACTGTAGTTACAATCCCAGCCTTATTGAATACCATGAACCTTGCTGATCTCCTGGCCATCGCCATACTCCTAGCCACAGCAGGGGCCGTGAAGTCTGGCTAGCAGGTGAGTAGATCAAGACCTTGTCCTCACACCGTTCTCCACACTACCATGCCTAACTGGTGTCGCATAGCTAGCATCACATAACCTGCACACCAGTTCAGCCTGATGAGTTCATATGAATCTTACCTGCCTGAGCCACCTCACAGTTCCTGAATAAGCTGGGACCAATCAGAATATTTCCTACTAGTATTCCTGAATCTAGCGTGTATTTCACAACCTGTACCCTAAGCCAGCCAGGTATGGGATCAAGACCTCCGCCTTATATCATCTTTATACTCCAAGGCCTATTTTTGCTGAAGCTGCTCACTGGCCAGCCTGTCCTAGTGCATGACCCAGACCCTTGCAATTCTAGAGCATCCACCAAAGCCCCAGGTCCCTCTTGTGGGGTTGAATAGCCAGCCTGGCCTCCAGCACAGTCCTCACATTCCCAGACATAGTCCCACTCATGCCGCTCGCTGTTCACCCAAGACCCTTACGTGTCACGGCTGTATTGATACTCCTTTGCCTATTCCCAAATCATAGACCCATGCCCTGTTGCACCTGTTCAGACTAGGCAGTGGTGTCACAAGTACAGGCAGATTTCAGCCCAGCCCAGCCAGGTGTATGACCCTGACCCTAATCTTTCCCACCATTGCTACATTTCCAAGACTATCTTGGCTTTAAAAAAAAAAAAAAAGTCTACAAAATCTCAGCCCGTGAGGTACCTAGACTTCGTCCTACTGAGCCATCCCCACAGTTCAGGTTCAACCTAGGATCAAGTTGCCTCCTCCCCAGCTTACTTTGGTAAGTGGCCAAGACCTTGGATACCCCATACTCTAATGATTCCATGAGCTGTTTGGGACATGCAGTGTTGCCACCAGAGGAGACATGAGTGTCCTAGTGATCAAGACCTTCTCTCATGTACCCTCCTCATGATCACAGGCTACCTTGGTTAATACAACCTGACCAAGATACCAGCCCAGTGAGTGACCAAGGTTCTTCTTCGAACAGCTTCCTCAGACCCACAGGTCAAGCAGATCACTGACCAGCTCCTCCTGGTGAGTATCCCAGCCACTGTCCTCAATGTCAACCCCAGAGTCCAAGGTCAGCAGGGTCTAAGCATCTCAAGGACCAGCACAAACTGTAGAAAGATCAAGCTTCTGCACCTGCCCTTCATATTCACACTACCAGGCCTAGCAGTGGTCACAAAGCCTGGTGAGTTCCTACAAACCTCACTGGCTAATGCCATCCTCCCAAACCTGACCTAGCAGGACTCACTCAGATTGTCTGTCATACTGGTCCAGTAGGACTTGAGATCATGACCTCTTGGTGTGCACTAATACTCTGTGTTAGCTTAAGTAGCAATGGCTTCACTCTAGCCCAGCCTGCGGAAGGATCCAGACCCCTGTACTTCCAAGAACATAGACCTCTGTTCTTCAAAGAACATCACCACATCCCCAGGCCTAGAATGGCTGCAGCAGCCTGGGTGCCTGTCCTTGTCAGGGAGAAAGACCCTGCCCTAATGCCCCATCCTCACACTCCTTGGCCTAATTCAGGGAAAGGAGCATACGGGCCTGCCAAACCTGGTTAGTGACCCAAAATGTTGTCCTCCTGCCTCACCCTAGACTAGAAAGTGATCTTAGAATCCCAGGCATACTTTGTACCAGACAAGACTGGTGAGTGACACAGAACCCTGCTATTGGACAACAGTCCCACACTACCAGGGCTATCACAAGCCACATAGCCCGCACCCAAGCCAACTTCTGTGTCCCTGAACTCTGTCATCCTTTGTCATCCTCATAGTCACAAATCTGTATTGGACCAAGTCACCTAACCACTGGTGTGCCCCGGGTTCACCAATATGACCAATACCAGACCATTTCATGGGCCTAACGAGCCAACAACAAACAGCATGGGCAGCAGTCGATCTCCCTCAGGGATTCTGGGCCTTTTGTACCACCCAGTCCTCACACACCCAGGCCTAGCTGCGCAACTTGTCTATGAGCACAGACGAACAAGAGCCCAGTATCCTGTCTTTGTCATTCTCACAGGCCTGGCTTTGGTTCTTACAGCTTGACCAACAGCAGAGTCTGGTCAGTCATCAAGAAAACCCCTTCAATGCCTTAGTCACACTCCCACAGCTAGTTAGATTCAAGGAGATCCCAGGGCAACACTGTATACTGAGTAACTAAGACCCAGCTCTTATTGGACCAACGCCACAGTCCCCAACACATCTGGGGTCAATCAGCCAGGACACTAAGTCAGACTGTTGAATTATCAAGACATTGTAATACCACATCATTCTCACATCTGAAGCCTAAATTGGACTTAGCCCAGTCTGGTGAGGGATACAGAATCCCGTCTAAATTCACCATTGTCATGTGTCCATTCCTAGATAGAGTCAAACAGTCTGGGCATTACCCTAAGACCCTGACTGCCTAAGACACTGTTTTCTAGCTCGGGCCAATAAGACTCTGTACCATTCCAGCCTGGTGAGACCTGGAGATCCAATCCTGCTGCTGGCGTACGAATCCTCGCAGCTCCAGCTTCCATCACACAGCCTGCCCCAAACCAGCATCTTGAGTGACCAAGGCCCAGCTGGGTGAGGGGAACAACTCCGCAGCCCTAACGGGTAAGTGATAAGGACCCTGCCCTTGCACATTGCACACCATAGCTGGGGTGGCTGACTTGGCCTGCTGACTCACCCATAACCCTGCCTATCTGCAACATTAACACAGTCCGAGGCCTACTATCTTGAGCTACATCCTTTTGTGCTAACCACACAGTCCCAGTGAGAAGTCGGACCAAACTTTGTTCATTAGCTTACCCTGGTATGTGATCAAGACTAAGCTCTCCCCAACGACACAAACCACCCAGTACTGGTCAGGATCAAGTAGCCTGTGGAGAAGCAGCCCTGTATTAGTAATCAAGGCGACCCACTCCCGCACCATCCCCATATGCCCTTCCCAGTTCTGGCCAGGCAGATTTCCCATCAGCCCCATCTAGCGAGTGCCTTTTACTTCCATACACTCACAGGACAAGATATGAACTCCATGTGTTAAGCCCTGTGCTAAGCCCGTTTAAGAATGTACGTAATTTTGCCTCTCAGAATTGGAAATACAACTCTTGGGATGCTTGAAGGCTTTCAAACTGGTGATAGAGGTGGCTACAGAGGTCAAAGTGATGTAGCCAGGCTGTCTCTCTCCTCTCGTCTCTTCCCTGCACTGTGCCTTCTTTCCTCTGAAAGAAATGTTTTGTAAAAAGCCCCCACAGTTAGTAATTGCCTCGTGGCATAGCTTTCTCTAGACCACCAGGTCTTGCCAGAAGTGTGGGGTGGCCACTCTCCCTTCAGCGCCACACTGCTGAGCTCTCTGCCACTCCCGGCATCCCTTCTGTACCCCTGCAGCCAGCATGATCGGAGAAATCTGTGCCGCTGTGGAATTCATCTCCAACTTCCTCAGCATCAAGGGCCTCAGGAGCGAGCAACAGCTGCGGACCTTCAGCCAGAGCCTGCAGGAGCTGCTGGAGCAACACTACAAACACCACTGGTTCCCAGAGGAGCCCTGCAAAGGATCCGGCTACAGGTGCATTCGCATCAACCATAAGATGGATCCTCTCATCTGTCAGGCAGCCCAGCGGATTGGACTGAGCAGCCAAGAGTTGTTCAGGTTTCTCCCATGTGAACTCACACTCTGGGTTGACCCCTATGAAGTGTCCTACCGCATTGGAGAGGATGGCTCTATCTGTGTGCTGTATAAATCCTTGCCGGAAGGAGATGGCTTTCAGAACACCACTGAACAGCGAATGCTATACACCAAAATGGGTTACAGGCAGGAAATTCTCTGGCAAAGACCAATCCCATTTCAAACCTACAATATGATGACTGTATGGGGTCACGGTATAGTTAGTACAGTCTACAGATGGGATTTTTGTTTAGGGATGGATTTTGGAATTTAAGCTCTAAAGACCTACCACAAGATAGAGTACAGAGAGGTAATATTTTTAAGTGACTTATTGTAGTTTGCACAGTATCATTTAATGGGTTTCTAGCCTGTGAGTCAAGGATAAAATCACTTTATTAGCAAGGCAGTAAAGTCAAATGTTGGTCCAAGTTTTCCCCAGACTTTATAACTATATTGTCACATCAGTGCCTTTAAGAAAAAATGTTTATTTTAATCTTATATTTATGTGTTTGACTAATTTACTGAATGTATGTCTGTGTGCTGTAAGGAGTTGGAATGTGGAGGTGGATTCCCTGAGGGTGCTGGGAACCAAACCTGGGTGGGCCCTCTGTTAGAACAGACACGTCTCTCTATCCATCCCCTAAATCTATATCTCAACAAACCATCTTTCACAATCGATCTTTCGAGGGGTTTTGCACTACTACACTTGAATGTTAGCAATAACTTTTTCTTTTGGCCATTTAGTAAGAAAGCTCAATCATGTGAGCATGAAATTAGAGGAAACTTTACATCCAGGGCTTCCCCCTAGCTCTTGAAAAAATGTACATGAAGAAAAGCTAGGTCATATGATGGGGAAGGAAAGGGCCTGGTTTTGTTTGGATTTTTGGCTTTAAAAGTAGCAAGTGAGCAGAATGTTCCTCGGTAGCAGACTTTTAAAGGACTCTTTAAGAGACACTGCCTTTTGCGGGTTTCTAAGACTGAGTAAATGTCCCAGTTTTAGAAACCGGAGGTCTAGTTTGTAATGTCCCTTTCCCTTAGTGCGGTAAAAGATGAACTTTGCTCAGCCACCATTTATTTGGTCAATTTGGAACTTGTATACTTTTGGACAGTTCATGTCGATTGCCTGTGGCAACATGGAAAGGTTTCTGTATTTTGGATGAGAAATGATTTTCCACGTAATTAGCTTTTACATCCTAAGGTAAATCTTTAACAATGTGCTGTGCCATGATGCCAGCCCAGAATAATGTACTTGACAGGCCTACCTGGTATCATACTGGCTGCCTGCCAGCCCAGTAGGAAGTTTTCAAGGGTCTTACCTGTCAGAGCCATACACATACTCCCTGGACTAACCACACAGCATTCCAGTCCAAGGAGAGCTCAGCAGTGTACCCTGCTCTTCTACTAATATCCCCAGGCCTAGCTTGGCTCCTACCAGCCATACTAAAACTCAGCCTGGTGAGGCATCAAGTGGTGGGCTTCTGCCAACATCTCCAACTTTCCGGGTCTTGTTTGGGGCAAACAACAAACCGTGAAACCCAGGCCCCTGCCATCTTGCACCAGCTCAGGATCCCAGGCAGACAGTACACCAGGCTACCCGAGTGAGTGCCCAAATTCCCCACCTGCCTTTACTCTCTCATCTTCCCAGTCTGATGAACAGTCCAGCCTACGAGTTGTCAAGAAGCACCCTCCAGTGCTTTCCTCAGATGGTAAGGCCTAGTTTGGATGAAGTAGCTTGTGGGCCTGCCTAGTCTGGTGCGTGGCACAGAACCCTGGTCCATGTTACCAACCCTACAATTGTGTGCCAACTTGGGATGAAACAACCTGGGCAGCAGCTCAGAACGGTGAGTGATGAAGACCATGCCTTCCCACACCACCCTAACACTGCTTAGGTTTAGCTGGTGTCACACAGCCTGCCTAACAGACCCGCGCCGTGAGTTCCTAAGAATCTCTCCTATGCAAACCATCCTCACACTCCCTGGCCTAATTGTAGCCAATCAGATTGTGTACCATCCTAACCTAGTGACAACACAGTAGATTATTCTGGCAGTATCAGAATAATGCACCAAGGCCTTGCTTGGGTCCCCTAACCTGTAATCTGAACCTGTGCTCTGAGGGCATCTTCACACTTCCAGGTCTATCATGAGTGAAGCCGCCTGTGTTTTAATCCATCCTGATCAAAATTCAGGACTCTCCCTGTCTGCCCAAAATTGAAACTCCAAGACTCCGTTTGGAACAAGCAAATTGCTCCTCGGTTTAATCCGATAGTGAATCCCCTCCTCTCTCTTACCAGCTCAGAGTTGTGGCTTATAGAAAATTACCGGGCACATGATGCAGCCGCTCATCCTTCTGAGAGCCCCACAACCAGGCCCTTCGTTACCACAGTCTCCTTATCTCAAGTTCACAAAGACCATGTAAAAGACAGATCTTAGAGGGACAGCCTTTTGCCAGGCCTGGCTGGAGGAAAGTTGACTGCTGGTCAGGGACCAAGAGGGTCCCTTCTCCCATCCTCATGCTTGTGGCATATCTGTGGTTCAGCTGACTGTCCATGAGCCCAGCCTGTAAGAGCCCAATGTCGCCACCTGTCTTCAGCTTCCTCACACTCGTGGGCCAAGATTGGGTCACACAGCATGGGTATTAGGGCACAATACAGAGTGTCCAGTGTCCCCACTTGCCATCTTATACTCACACTCGCAGGTCTCGCTTGGACCATATAATCTGAACAATATCCTAGCCCTGTGAGTGGTCCAGACTTAGAGTAAAGTAACCTCCTCAGACCTCCAGGTCTAGTCCATGTCAAGAATAAAGCCAATGGGGGGCTGGAGAGATGGCTCAGTGGTTAAGAGCACTGCCTGCTCTTCCAAAGGTCCTGAGTTCAATTCCCAGCAACCACATGGTGGCTCACAACCATCTGTAATGAGATCTGGTGCCCTCTTCTGGCCTGTAGACAGAATACTGAGAATACTGTATACATAATAAATAAATAATAAATCTTTAAAAAAAAAAAAAGAATAAAGCCAATGAACACAGCCTGGTACATGATTTAGAGCCTGCAGTCCTGTGTCATTTCTGAAGTTCTAGGACCAGCTAAGGTCAAGCAGCCTGGACACTAGCCAGGTTGTTGATATTGAAGCTGTTTCCTCTCAAATCATCCTTACATCTCAGACCTACCAACCAGTTTTATGAGTGATTAAAACCCTGCCCATTTACCAGAATACCACAATACCATTCCTACATTTATCAAAGAGCACAGGTACCAGTCAAGTCTGGTGAGTGACATAGACCTTTCCCTCTACACCATCCTCACATGCACATCCTTAGCTGACATAGTGAGTCCCCAATACCTCACTATGTCAGTCTTTCTTCTCTTGCTCCCTGGCCAGCTAAGATCATTTCAACTGCACCATGCCAGCCTGGAAAGAGGTCAAAAATCAAACCCTATTCTCCTGGTGTCTTCCTAATACTTCCAGGACTTGCTTGGGGTCTACAGCCTCCATTTCAGGCCTGCCTGGTGAGTAACCCATAGCCTCACACTCCTGCCTTATTCCTCACAGCCCCAGGCCTCTCTTTGTAAGTATCAATACCCACTCCCTTACCCCATTCTCATGCCCGCCTAGGCATAGTTCCACTCAGGGAGCTCTCAGAGCTGTCAAAACTGCTTTGTGAACCAGATCCCTGCCCTCCTGCACCTGCTCATACTAGGGACAGATACCACGATCACAGGCAGACTGTGTACCGGTGCAACCAGGTAAATGACCACACAACCTGTCCTTCCCTACCATAAACACACTTCCAGGTATAGCTATGGGGAAAAAAACAGCCCATCGTGTAAATGCACCATATTTTCCTTATTCATTCCTGGCATCATGACATTTGCAGGCAAATGATGGAACTGGAAAAAAAAAAACATTCAGAGTAAGGTAACCCAGACCCAGAAAGACAAATATGATATGTACTCTTAAGTGGATAGTGGCTGTAAAACAGAGGAGAAACTTGTTAAAAACCCACAGATCCAGAGAGACTAGGTGCCAATGGAGGCTCAAGGAGGGGGCCTCTGGGATCTCCCTGAGAAGAGGAAATAGGAGACACTTTGTGAGTGAACTGAGGGCTGCGGATAGGGACATGAGTGAGCAGGTTAAAGGAGAGATGGAAGGAGAGAATACTGAAAAAGACCATTGGAAGGGGCCATTTTAGAGGAGAAACGTGGTGCAAGGGAACCTCCTAGGAATCTACAAGGATGACCCCCCAGCTAAGACTCCTGGCCATAGAAGATCTGTAGCCTGAACTGGCCAATTCCTGTGACCAGGCAAGACTTCAAGTGGAGGGGCTGGGACACCAGCCCAGGCATATAACTCTCGACCTATAGTCAGTCTGTCCAACCTATGGGATGTGCTAGGTAAGGGTGGCCTAGAGATTAAAGGAGTGACCAGCCAATGACTGATCCAGCTTAAGACCCATGCCACAAGAATGAGTCCACCCCGATAGTGCCTAGAGCACCAGGATCCACAGGCGGGATGACCCAGAGACCTAGAATAGAACCAAGCACAACTGAAGAAAAAAAATGTCAATATAACGAGGCCTAATGATATTCTGCTATACTCATAGATTGGTGCCTAGCTCAGTTGTTCTCAGAGAGGCTCCATCCAGCAACTGATGGAAACTGAGACAGAGACCCATAGCCAAACCTTAGGCTGAGCTCAGGGAATCCTGCTGAAAAGAGGGAGGAAGGATTGTAGAAGTCAGAGGGGTCAAGGACATCTAAAGAAAACCCATAGAATCAACTAAACTGTGCTAATGGGGACTCAGAGAGACTAAACCAACAACCAAGGAGCCTGCACGGGACTGACCTAGGTACTCTGCATAAATGTGACAGTTGTGTAACTTGATCCTCTTATGGGATTCCTTTTTTT